ATATTTACCCTCTGTGGTCCTTTTAATCAGTAACAAGACACAACTGATCACTGAAGCTATTGAGAAACACACATCGTTGTAAATGACACGGCAAAATGTTCATGAGAAATGCCATATCAAATGTCTTTCAAAAGGCTCATGTTATCTGTCTCACATTAAAAACTATAAACTAACAAACTGTTTATTACAAAGCATGGTGGTGTTCAGTTTGACTTTGCAACATGTGTATCGAGTGATCTGCATTATGGAAGTTCAAAGGCTATGTCCATACTTTGGGAGGGAAGGTTTTGCTGTGACAAAGACAGATTTGGATGATGGGGGGGTTAATAAAAAGCAAGAGAAATGTAGAAAGACATGCTAGTGCGTCATTATGCAGAGAAACGGCAGCCAGCTGAGGGACATACATGTGTAAAGCTGCTGCTAAAGGAGCCCTAATGATGATAGCTTCAATATGAGACCTTCTCTCTAAGGTGACAAATACCTCCTCACACCATACCTTCACAAATCTGTGTTCCTTACACTTAAGAAACCCAACCACTGACATGTATTGGTCAGGAGCTCTGGCTCTGTTCAGAGCGTGAGAATAACTACCGTTACCAAGCACAATAAACACTGTTCTCAGACCTGATTTAAGTCATCTGCTTCAGGTGGAAGGAGGGAAATTAGACTGGAGGAAATTGTGACAAGAGTGTGACCCCACCAAAACCAAAGTCATTCAATGTGGAGGAGGAGAGAAATACTTGTATTTTAAATTTGCAGTCGTAAAGAAGGAAAAGAAATGCGGTCATGCTCCTATGTCCTCTGTTATGGATTATGTGAAAGGCGTGCAGTGGACTTAGCGTGTGTGCGTTTGCAAGAGAAGTGAAAAACAACAGCTTTTCTTTCCTTTGAGTCTACACCCCTGCTATGATTTCACTGCCTTTACAGTAAATCAGAGTGCATAGAACAGCTAGTCGTTAACCTGTCATCAGGATGATATCCACTGCTGATGCTTTTCAGAGCTATGCTAACAATGTCCAGGATGGCAAAGAACAAATAAACACAGACACACAGCTTTTGCCTTGTCTTTATATGCTGGCTCACATGTGGACGCACACACCTGCAGAACCACAACTGTGTGTTTAGGTTTTCTGGGCCATGTCTTTTGAGAAGGGGCAGTTTCCTGCGAAGGACAGGTTGATAAGAGAGACTTGCTAATGAGCCTGAGGATTGTGTAAGAGATGGGAGGACCACACATTCAGATACACATGAGATCCTAGAGAACGTGAACAAGAATGAAGATTAACACTCCATGCAGTATTCCCTCGGGGGAAATATCGCATAGCAAAGAACTTACGCCAACTATTAAACCGTCCATAAAACTTTAAAAGAAACCTGTATCTAATAAGCACTGGAATGTGTGAAAGTTCAACGGATGAAACAGTCACTTCTATCAACATTAGCTTAGATAGCAGCTTGTGTGATGAGTAATCTATATTATTGAATGCTTTGACAGACAAGCCAATGGACTCCCAAGAGGAAAGTTACAAAATGATATTTAAGACAACCGATAAAATGATATGTGTCCAACTGAAAGATGAGATCAGATGAAACAAACACGTTGCGGTGCCAATATAAATATAATCAGACAAAAAAATCGAGCTGCTGTACGAGATACTGTAAACGCCTGTCTCCCAGAGTATCCTGTCTGTAATGAATGCAGGCCTTTTTCCCATAGTGAAACAAATGAGTGTGTGCAGGCTGATTGGAAGAGTTAAACAACACGCTGGAAGCCGAGCTCAGCAGCATATGGCTTTTAGCTTTTGAGTTATGAGTCTGGGAAAAAACAACAAGAATTTCAGCAAGCGCTATTCAGCTACAGCATTTCAACTTATCCTGAATACCTTTTCCCTCTTTAACAGCTGAAGGAATTTGTTCTTCTGTTTCTTAATAAGCACTTGTCCCGTCTGGAAATAAGCCCTCAATGAGCGGCGGAGACTGAGAGCAGCGGGTTCTTTTGGCTGTAGACTAAGTGGTGACAGGTAAAGGGGCGGAGGATTAACGGACATTTGCTTTTTTAGAATCACAGCACAAAGGAAACTTCTCCCTGAACCCTTTTAGTGCTCACTTTTTGTGTTAGTATGTGTGTGTGTATTTCTGGATTCATGTGCAGACTTCATGCTAATCATTACCAATCCCCACCATAGGTTGCCGGCTCAGTTGGATTGCATTTCAATCTTCACAGGAACAGGCTCAATCTCCACCATATAAGGAAAACAACTAACAATAAACAACTCGGTCAAAATAGTTTCCTTTGTTATTCTCATTCGATAGCAACAAGTTCAAGTAGACAGACTAACTGTACAGTTTAGGGGTCTGATAGTAACCCTAAGGTTTTATGAACAACACATGAAACACATAATTAAATATCAAAGAGTTAGCTGAAGTCGAGAAAAGATCAAACTGAACGTTTCTGTACGGCAGCCAACACAGAATACAATGAAATGAAGATAAACAAGTCGGAGGGACATGCTAATTCATTTCTTTATATTTTAAAGTACCTATTAAGACATCTTTGTGTGTGTGTGTGTGTGTGTGTGTGTGTGTGTGTGTGTGTGTGTGTGTGTGTGTGTGTGTGTGTGTGTGGTGTGTGTGGTGTGTGTGTGTGTGTGTGTGTGTGTGTGTGTGTGTTGTGTGTGTGTGTGTGTGTGTGTGTGTGTTGTGTGTGTGTGTACAGTATGTATGCTTGTACACTATGTATACATGTGTGCGTGTATATGGACAGCTCAGAATAAAAATAGACCACTCAAATGTTTTCTTAAATCTCAATCTCTACATGTATGGCAGCCATTCAATTCCAGTATCTGTAGACGTCCAACACAGATACATGTTGTCAGTAGTTAATAACATTAAATTAAAAAAATGTGCATTTTACTCAAACACATACCTTTAAATAGTAAAACCAGAGAACTGATAATGCTGCAGTGGTCTAATGTTTTTCGAGAGCTATATATGTATGTGTGTGTGTGTGTGTGTGTGTGTGTGTGTGTGTGTGTGTGTGTGTGTGTGTGTGTGTGTGTGTGTGTGTGTGTGTGTGTGTGTGTGTGTGTGTGTGTGTGTGTGTGTGTGTGATCATTTGACCTTTGTTAACCCATGCTTCACTAGTCCGGCCTTTTTTTGATTCCCTGTGTACAGTAAGAGGCAGCAGTAAAACCCTCCCCAGCTTTCAGATATCAGTCAGGAGCTGCAGACTTCACGGGGTTAACTCGATGACACCCCGGCACACACACTGTTGCTTTAGTGGTCTGGCACAGACTGAAAACCACAGGAATGGCTCTATATACTGCACCTCGTGGGTACATATGCATGCGTGTTGAGTGATTCCCTTCCTCTGAGCGGCAGCGTGACAGAGGTTTCCTGTATGTGACAACACTCTCTACTGTGCTGCAGAATGAACAGGTAAACAGCACACACACTCTCTACCTGCTGCTGTCACACACCACTGAAACCCCGACCCATCTGTTCAAAACCCAAGTCTCCTGTGCAATCAAATCACAAGCCGAAGGATAAAAACTGCAAATCTAATACATGTTGTAAATATTTTCTAGAGTTTGTTTATAGACTAATATTTGAAGTCAAAATAAATACACCTGCTTTGAAAAAGACTTGTTTTATAACTGTCGACACAATATGGAAGATAGTCATTTTTGTTATTCTTCCAGGTTATTATTTGATGTGGGTTGGGCTTCATCTCATTCTAGAGATGCAACTTAGCATATATCAACATGAATAATAGAAATTATTTGTTGCATCTAAATATTTCTATAAGCTACATTTACTGAAAGGGATTTACTATTTGATTGAATACAAATACAAATATTCTGGTTAGGCCTTTGCTTTCTGTAAAGACAAAATCATGATCAAACTGTCATAACATTGTCATTTATGTTTTCTTTGTTTCATATTCCATTAGAAGCTGCAACACAGCCCTGTAGTCCATAATACAAGTTGATTTCTGCATGTTTATCACCATTTAATGATGGACAAGTACAAACGCTTTGAATGTGTGTAGCACTATTAATGAGTTACAGGGGGATGAATCATCTCATGTGATACGTATGCAACTCTAAATGCCTTTCACTGGTATCGCCACCAGTATGATCCTGTTACGCTAAAGCAGTCATTTTGAGCTAATCTCGTGTTCTGAATATAAACATCAATATGCAGCCTTGTGTGTATTCAGTTATCACATGTTTGGCAAAGTTGCTTGTGGCTAAAGAGTATGCTAAAATGGTGCATTACTTCATATTGGAATAGAAGGGCACTGTTCAGCAAAATGAAATGTCCAGAACTGAAACAGCTGATAATGATATCTGAGACTGTATTTATCTGTTAAACAATGATATTGTTATTAAAACATGAATAAAGCAAATAGCAGGATTGAGTCCTAAAGCAGGAAATGAGTTTCAGGTTCCTTTGTCTTAAAGTTTAATTTTCTGAATGGGTTTTTGGTTTTATTTCTGAACACAGGTCAGTGGAAACTACAAGCTTATGAGACTTTTCCAAAAAGGCACAATAAATGCCAGTTAATAGCCTAATGGGGATTGTCTGAAGCGTTAGCTTGGTTGTTTACAAGTAGCTAAATGAGACTACTAAATGTCATCACTGCACATAAAAGTCTGGCTTCAGCTTAGCGGGTGAACATGACGTAGTTTATTTATAGATATTTTGTTAGTTATTTATTTCTGGTGTTTGCATTTATGCTTGAAAAATGATAAAGTGGTGTTAATATGTGGAGACATGTTTGTTTCCCACAGATATTATTTACTGTAATATTCCAGAAATACAATGGAATTTCTTTTTTGACTTTTTGTTGGGGGAGCCCTTGTTATTCCGGTTTGACCCACACAAAGACATCATCACTGCACCACTCTATATCCAAGCCATAAGCCTTCCCATCCTGCATTTCACAGGGAAACATTGCATCAGTCTGAGTGTGGTATGAGCCCCCACAGCGTTACCTTTCTTCTGAAGCCGTGCACTCTCTTTCTGCCGAAGGTCCATCTCCCTGCCAAGCGCCTTCCTCTGCCGCTGCAGCTCGCTCCGCAGCACAGCGATACGCAGCTGCATGCACTCTCGCTCTTTCTTCTTCTCAGAGCAACACAAGACAACAACACGGAGACAAAACCGAGAAAGAGGATTAAGGAACTTGTTTAGTATGTGGGCACAGCAGTAATCTGTGTTTATAACCATTTGAAATACCTTTACATTCCTACTAGCTCCATCAAATTCATTTGTGTTTCCAAGTCACATTGATTTATTGCAGATCGACTGAGCTCAATAATCTAGACTCCACTGTCAGCAGTCAATGAGAAGATGGACAGGGACTCAGATATTGGCTTAAAGGTGGAGGACAGCACGCTTGTTTATCAATAACTTGATTTCAGTAACATAGTGCCGAATCAAAAGCCTCAAGTTTGATTCAACTTTATGTCAATTCATCAATTTAAGTGTTTTTTGAAAGAAG